ATACATAAATGTGAACTTCAACATTTAAGGTTGAACTTTTATATTCAGATTTAAACATTTAGATTCAGGATTTAATATTTAAATATATTTTTTAACATTTAAATTGGACATTTAGTGAAAATTAGCAAAATGTAACAATGGTGAGCTAAATAACAATAAAATGTTACTGGAAATTTTTTAACACTCAATAAGTGAGCCAAATAATGAAAAACATGTTAGTGAGACATTGTAACGTTTCATTTTACAGTTGGTGCCCCATATTCTACTGCAGCTGAGATACTGAGTAGTGATAACAGGACCTTTATTTCCCTGTAATGGACAGGTGTACCTCTCATGGTCCCAGGTGTCCCCCCCAACTACTCTGAGCTGGATGAAGCGTACATCATACCTCACAGTGACCTGTATATATCTGGCTCCATTAGGCCGTAATAAAAGAAAAAAAACTTTACATAAAACTGGTCTAGTTCTAGTTAATAACAACTGATGTTCTGAATCTTCCCAAAAGAAGATTTGAGCTCCCAGTCTGCTGAAAGCTCCTCGTCGCTGCATGCACTAATGGCTCCGGAGTTTTGATTTTTCTCAGAATCCATTTTACCTGCAGCGACTTCAAATAAATAACTTCCAGTCGACTGAGCGTGTGTCATTATCACTGACCTTCTTTATTAGCACACCATCCATCTAAAGCATTTTAAATCAGAGGGATTCTGAATGCACTGATTACCTGTCGCATGTTCCAGGCTGCTGAACTCTAATGCACTCTCTCAGTCAGGGAAATSATTTTAGCTGTTGTTTGTTTCACGMTTATCAGAGAACACTACTGGTTTTGCATTATTTTAATTTATGAACACTCTCCTTTGCTAATAAAGCTAAAAGAATGCTGGTCCTGTTMAGCAGAATGTTGCCAATAAGCAATTAGAAACGTTGAAAGAGAAGCTCTAATAGTTGACAGATCTGCTCCGGCACACAGCTAATAAAATGTTATGAAAGTGAACTCGGCTGACTTTAATGAGAAAGAAGGGAGAAAACAGAAAGGTGGAGATGGTGGATCAGTTGGTCATTGTTACAGGTTTTAGAAGCTGAAGCTGCAGGATGCATTCAGAGTTTCCTCGAATGCCAATSCTTCAAAATCTGACGGCAGCACATTTTCAAACATGGCAGCASAAAACATTATGTTCATCGTCTCATTGATATAGTCGAGCTCCGCTAACAAACGACAGAGCTCTACCTGGTATTTCATAAGAAACAATGTTTTAACACGTCCTCTTATAAAGACTGAAAGTTACTATATATACGACTGAGTACATTTGAAATAAATAATACAGAAATACTATTAAAAGTTAAAGCAGGAGAGTTTAACTCACTGATGGGTTGTGGTGAGTAGCCGTCATTTTAAATTCTGAACTCTCCCACTTTCCTACAGGAAATTCCCATGTATGTTTTAAATATTTATTCATTTTCATTTAAAAATAAAACAAATACTGTGCACAACAAATAATACAAATGACAAATTGAATGAAAGGCAGCAGAAAGAAGAAAAAATTCTGTATAATTCACGTGCATTATGGGAGATGTAGTTTATGGTCAATGCTGGCTTTAAAGCATTTTATTTTGAGACAATAATACTGTGATATTCAACTAAACTGCTCAGTTATTTAAAGCCAGAGGCCTATTTGAAAAAAAAAACACTGAGTAAAAGTAAAAATACTTCAACAGAAAAGGACTTTGGTAAA